AAAACTATTTTCTGGAATCGCTGCTTGTGTATTTCCCAATTCTTTCCCAAAAGCCAGGATAAACCTGACAAAACCTTTGCCACAGACATATTCTTGCACAATCTGCTCTAGCAAAAAGCAATTTATTTAATTCATGTTTGTACTCTGCAATTCCTCATAGAAATCTGAAGAGCACAAGTGGCAAATACAAACAATATTACCTAATATTTGACTTAATTTTTCTTCATGAGATGTTCTTCCCTTTTTTTCTATGTGCAATGTAATTGCTTTCATTTTTTAACTTTCTCCTTTAATGTGTATTTCACATTTCCCATTCAATAATTCAAGAAGATGCTGAAGCTTCATTGGTATTAATTTATTTTTGAAGCTTGACAGCCGTTTGCTTTTTTAAAAATTGCCATTTAACTAGGAAACATCTAAAGAATTCCATTTACAAAGAAACCTCAGCTAATGATCAGATATTACAATTATGTTTGTACAATCAGCTGTTACAATCAGAAGCAAAAGATGAAAACTATCCCAAACTGGAACAATTTTGATATACAGAATAAAGGTATAATCTCTTTTACTTCAGCATAATAGACATGAGGCATCAACAAAACCCACTTTGTGTGTTTCATTTTTCTTCTTAGCGTCTTTCCACAAGTACAAGATCCAGCTTTTTTTTCTGGTTCAACCAAATGTTAAATGAATGGCTGAGACAGGAATTGACCAACCAGCTTATTGCTTAAGCCTTATGTCATGGCACAGAAAAAGTGACTTGCTCAAGATCATCCAGCCAGCTTTCATGCCTAAAATAGGGCTAGAACTCACAGTCTCCTAGTTTCTAGCCAGGTACCTCAAACACTAAACCAAACTGGTCTCCAAACCCCTCTCATGCATACAAGCAGCATAACAGAGTTGGAAGGGACCTTGGAGGTCTTCTAGTTCAACCCCCTGCCTAGGCATGAAACCATACACCACTTCAGACAAATGGTTATCCAATCTCTTCTTAAAAACTTCCAGTGTTGGAGCATTCACAACTTCTGGANAAGCTGAAGAAGCCGTTGACAGGTAAGACATAGCAGACAATTTTGTGTACTACGCTTACATCAGACCTTAGTCGGCCTAGTTTTAGGTTGTCCAAGCCCAAAATCTCAAGCCTGGTGGCATAGGGGATCCGATTGTGAGTGAGTGGAGGAGAGGAGTGGAGTACTCTTGTCGTGAAATACCTCTGGACCAGGGGTGGGTTGCTAATCCCGTTCCAACTGGTTCGGTTGGAACAGGGCCGGCGGTGTCCTCGTGCACGCGCGCAGTTCACGCATGCGTCTTAGCACCTGCGCGATGCTCCAGCTGCTCTCGGAGACTTGAGCAGGCACTGTAGGTGCCATCCAGCTGTTCGTGGAGAATCGCGCAGGCGCTGTATGTGCCATGCGTCTGCGTGGAAGCACAGAAGCCTTCAAAGACCGGTAAGGAGCACTGGCGGGCGGGTGGGCCCTGTGCCGTTCCCGGAAGTTACTTACTTCCGGGTTCGCCGACCAACCAGTTCGCGGGGACCGCCGCAAACCGCTTGAAACCCACCCCTGCTCTGGACCTGCTCAATCGATTAATGTCCAATATACAGTGTGGATTCCAGCAGATGAGCTATATTCGAGAATTGGTCTGGCAAAGGTTTTTTATGCCCTAGTTAAAACTTGTTTGCAAAGGAGGCTGAGGGAGTCACTCCACTCACTTACCATGTGGTAACAAACATCTCTTTTCAGAACACTTTCACTACTTCTCCCTTGGCCTCCTTGTGTTCATGATAGTTCCCTGCACTTAGTTGCCATTTTAAATCAATGGCATTGTACATGTGAATGTGCATTGGAAGGGAGAGAGATGAAGGGGTTTAACCCCAAACTCACTGCAGGAACTCAAAAAATAGCTCATAATTTCCCTTGGCAGGCCAGTCCTTCGACAGTTCTTACATCGGGGAAATATTTTATTCTGCAACTTAAACTGGTTCTTCCATGTCTGCACCCTGAAAGGAAAGGAAACAGTTCTTGGACTACTTCTTAATGAACCCCTTTTTGGTACCATGGGTGGCCACCTCTTCCCCCCTCCCTCCCAGTCCTTTGTCAAACAAAACATTCAAATCGCCTCCAAGGTTTTAATCTCAGGACTTGTGGGCATTTTTCTTCTCCTTTTCTGATACTTTGCCATCATTCTGAAGCCACCTAAAATATTAATTTTCCAAGAGAATACTTTTGGCCTTTGGCCTTTTAAGTTTGGTCTAAAGCAGGAAGTAGATCAGGTGGAATTGAGATCATGTCTGCTGGATCGATCATCTGCACTGCACGAATGAGCTCTTCCTAGTAACTCATAATACATTCTGCAGTGCAGTAAAAAGACAGTGAGGTTGCACAAAATCACAGGAAGAAATGTGGATGCTGTAGAAGTGTAGAAAACATTATGGAAGGATAATGTAATTCTGAATCTAAGATGTGGAAAAGATACACCTTTTGATTACGTGTCATGGAATCATTGGTAAAAGAAATGCAAACTAATGCAAGCTACTTTCTCTTGTTTTAGGTCTTTGGCCAATGCAAAGTAATAATTAAAGTCAACAGGAATTCAAATGATACGTTCATGTACAGAAATGACTGCATTTTACACAGTCGTATGTATTTTCTATGTTTGCTGCATGTAAATTTGCAAAAAAATATCTATCCGAGCACATATATCTTGCAATTGCAATTTTACAGATATCCCCAACGAAGTTTAAAAAGTAGATTCAGAAGCCCCAAAATTAAATGTTAAAGTTTCATTCATGCGGGTATCTTAGGCTACATCTGTAATTTTATTTTATTCTGTTTCTCAACCACAGATACGGTTTGGCCCAATTTCCTTTTCTATATATTTTAAATTGCAAAATTATGCATTTTTCACACACTTTTTTTCTGTGTGCACTTTCTGTCAGCATATTTTTCTTAGTATAAGATATTATTTTCTAAAACTTAACAAGAACTGTTGTTATAAGCTTACATTAGCTTTGACAAGTTGTTTCTCACTATAGATTATTTTACTTCCTTGTGTCATATTGTAACTTTCTAAAAGTGACCTTCCATAATAAATTTAGGAGTACAAATGTTGGGAAGAAGCATGAACTTTGAAAAATGATTAGAAATTGCTAAGCAACTAATACATTAGTTTCTTAGCTAGGTTTTAAAATGATTACTTGCTTACATCTCAGTCTGTTTTGCAAAACAACCAGCTTTGATTCATTTGCAATTCAGTACATGAGAACCTTGGCAATTCATGCATGGTTCAAGCTTTACCAACNACTGTCAGGAAATTTCTCCCTAGTTCTACGTTGCTTCTCTCCTTGATTAGTTTCCACCCATTGCTTCTTGTTCTACCCTCGGGTGCTTTGGAGAATAGCTTGACTCCCTCTTCTTTGTGGCAGCCCCTGAGATATTGGAAGATTGCTATCATGTCTCCCCTAGTGCTTCTTTTCCTTAAACTAGACATAACCAGTTCCTGCAACCGTTCTTCATATGTTTTAGTCTCCAGTCCCCTAAGCATCTTTGTTGCTCTTCTCTTCACTCTTTCTAGAGTCTCCACATCTTTTTTACATCGTGATGATTTGTTCCGCTCTCATCTCACCATTATTTTATAAATTTCCAGGGCGCATACAGGAGAGCGCATTTCTACACCTTCCTGCTGCTTTCAGAGGCTAACCCTGCTATAATGTATAATGCTAACAGGTTCTGCATAGCCGTGCTTAAAATCCATCAGATGATGACCTGTGCTATAAATTAGTCTTACTGAGCATGAGGTTCTCCATAGCTGAATGCTTTGTATTCAGTCTGCCACATACTAACTTTTATGCGTCCCTGAACTTATTTAATAACTTATCTTCCTTTTAGACTTTTGTTTTTTTATACATATACATTTTCTGCTTGATATCTTTCAAACGCTTGATGTATTTTCTATCTTTTTTTTTTTAACTGACTGTACCCCATCTTCCTTATGATGGTCTTTGACGGTAATAAAGATTTGATTTGATTTGATCTCAGGCCACTCGATGACCTTCAAGCCCAAGGAAAGAATCATTCCTCAAACTCTTGCAAGAAAACTGCAGGAGCTCATCCCAGACAGTCATCAAGATTAAAAAAAGAAAGAAAGAAAATTAAATTAAAGATAAATGGTGTGTTTCTTGCTTACCCTATACTCCAATGAAAACATGCTGTTGTTAGAGATATGCGGTGTCAGGGAGGGTTGAGATCTCCCATTTTGATGAAAAATATTAACAATAAAAATAATACCAGGAGCAAGTTTCTAGTGACTTTGGGAAATTAACTTTCTGCCAATAACATCAGTTCAGCATTGCTGGCCAATTATTCCTATATCTCCCACTAAAAGGAACGCTAACACAACTCAGGAAATACATTTTCTATTGACAAAATGTAGAAATTTTGTCTGCAAACTCCTGAGGGGCATATTTTTCCCTCTCTAAGATATATTTGTGTACAGCAAAAATATATATTCATTTATTTTCAATGCTGCGTTCACTTGACATTCTAGGGACATCAACTAGAGTTTTGAATGCAGAACTCAATATTTTCTTCCATATTTCATTCCATTCACCTCTTCTTGCCTTAGATACACATGGTTAGGAAATCATGAAATCTCAGATCCCTTCAATTATTTATTTATTTTGGCTATCTTAAATTGGTTGTATCCCAGGGGTGTCGAACTCAATTTCACTGAGGGCCGCATCAGGGTTGTGTTTGACCTTGGGGGGCTGGGGTGGGCATGGCCAGCTTGACGTCACTCNTAAACCGCTTAGAGAGGGCTGAAAGCCCTATGAAGCGGTATATAAGTCTAACTGCTATTGCTCAGTAGCTTCCCATGAATGCTGGAGAGTGAAACTAGCCTAGCCCACATTGCTGGCATCCGTGGGGTTTTTCCCTGCTGAATTGTTTGATCTCATGCTGAAATTTGATCTCCAAAACAGTTTCTGCTGGACGCCACTTCCCAGATGATCCTCCGCTCCGGCCGCGCCTCGGTGGAAGGGCTCCGCCAGCACTCCTGTTTTAAATCCTGACCTCGTCGGTTCCCCCTCTGATTTTGGGAAAACCTGGAGCGGGTTTGGGAAGCACCATGGTTTGGTGCCTGTGCTTAATGTCCGAGGACGAGAAAAATGCCATGGTGATCGATAAAGAAATCAGCCGGCTGCTCCAAGAACAGAAGAAACGAGACCGGCAGGAGTTAAAGTTACTACTGTTGGGTGAGTAGAATAGAACAGAATTCTTTATTGACCAAGTGTGATTGGACACACAAGGAATTTGTCTTTGGTGCATATGCTCTGAGAGAGAGGGAGGGAGAGAAAGAAAGAAAAAAAGAAAGAAAAAGAGAGAGAAAGAGAGAGAGAAAGGGAGAAAAAGAGAAAGAAAGAAAGAAAGGATAGAATAGAATTGAGAATAGAATAGAATAGAATTCATTATTATTGGCCAAGTGTGATTGGACACGCAAGGAATTTGTCTTTGGTGCCGATGCTCTCAGTGTACATAAGGAGAATAAAATACATTGATCAAGAATCATAACGCACAGCTAGTCTCAACCATTAACAATTAGCCTACTTAATACGTTGTCTATCCTATAATGTGAATGTATGGTCACTTCGACTCCGCGGTACTGCATTGTTTTAAATGAAAAAATAATAAAATATATATTGGGGAAAAAAAGAATCATCACAACACTTAGTGATAGTCACTAAGTTACTAATAAGCAATCAAATTATACTAGGAAACAAATAAAACAATATAAAATTGAAAGATACAAGCAGCATGGTTATAGTCATAAGTGGGAAGAGATAGGTACTAGGAAGGGAGAGAAGAATAATAGTGTACAATCTTAAAGTAAATAGTTTGACAATGTTGTGGGAATTCAGTAGTTTGGCAGAGTGATGGCATTTGGGAAATAACTGTCCTTGTGTCTAGTTGTTCTGGTATGCAGTGCCCTATAGCATCATTTTGAGGATCAAAGTTTCATCTTCTACCCTTAGAATAGAATAGAATAGAATAGAATAGAATTCTTGTGATTGGACACAGAAGGAATTTGTCTTTGGTGCAGATGCTCTCAGTGGACATAAGGAGANTCATCATCATCATCATCATCATCATCATCATCATCATCATCATCATCGCAGTAATTGGCCAAGAGAATGATCTTCCCAGATTTTTCCATAATGTGTTAATGCTGCTGAGATATTTTTAACTCCCTGCTTTCTTCTTCTCTTGTCCTTCTCCCTTCCATCCTTCTCCACCACTCCTTCTCCTCTTCCTTCTCCTTTCCTCCTCCTCTCTTCCATCCTTCTCCTCAACTCCTCCTCCTCCCATCCTTTTCCTTTCCATCCTTCTCCTCTTCCTTCTCCCTTCCTCCTTCTCCCTTCCATCATTCTGTACAATTCCTTTTCCTTCTCCCTTTCATTCTTCTCTCTTCCATCCTCCTCCTCCTCCCTTTTATCCTTCTTGTCCTCCTCATTCTCTCTTCCATCCTTTTCTTCTCAACTCCTTCTCCTTTCCATCCTTCTCCCTTCCATCCTTCTTCTGCACAATTCCTTCTCCCTTTCATTCTTCTTTCTTCCATCCTTCTCCTTCTCTTTATCTTCCTTCCTTCTTGTCCTCCTCCTTCTCTCTTCTATCCTTTTTCTTCCCAGCTCCTTCTCCTTTTCCTTTACATCCTTTTCCTCTTCCTTGTCCCTTCCATCCTCCTTCTGCCCAATTCCTTCTTCTTTCTTCCATCCTTCTCCTCCTCCACAATTCCTTCTCCTCCCTTCCCCCCTTCTCATTTGTTTATTTGTTTACTTGTTTATTTCATCAAGCATGTATTAGATAAGGGATATAAGTATAAACATGATTATGAATACATAAAATGGATACAAATAAAAGGGGACGGTAGGACAGGGACAATAGACACATTGGTGCGCTTATGCACGCTCCTTACAGACCTCTAAGGAATGGGGTGAGGTCAACACTAAACAGTCTTTTTCCCTTTCATCCTCCTTCTCCACCTTCCATCCTTCACCTTCTCTGTCACTTCTCCTCCTTCCATCCATCCTTCTTTCCACCACGTCTCCCCCTTCTCCTCCCCCTTTCATCCTTCGCCTCCTCCCCCCTCCTCCCTTCCATCCTTCTCCTTTTTCTCCCCTCTTTTGATTGGGCGCAAAGCGATTTTACACAACCGCATCCGGAAAGTTTTGCAATTTGCCTTTCCTGTAATTCGCAGCCTTGTCAGCGTTAGGATCCGGGCTGCCAACCTCCGCGATTTTGGGATTCCCACCGGGCAGCGCCGTCCAAAGGCCACCCCGCAAGGTAGTCCCCTCCCCCCGGGGGTGGGGCAGATGGGGAAGGGCCCCCATGCAGCCTGGCACAAGCCCGGAGAAGCGGCGGGCGGGAGGAATGCGCCACGGAGCTCTGGAGGGTCCTCCGAAGCGAAAGGAGGAAGCGGCGGGTTGGCTCCAAGTTTGGTTTTAACGCGATGCTTTTATGTGAACTTCTCCTTGCTTCATAAGCTGGGGGGGGGGGCGAGGGGGGTAATTGGAAATCTCCGCTGATTGGATGATTAAGAAGGATGGGGCTCTGGAAGCAGACAGCCCCCCCACTTTTGAAGGCGGTGTCCTCCTCCTCATCCTCCTCTCCTCCTCCATCATTCTCTTTCTCCTCTCCTCCTTTCGTTCTCCTCCATTCTTCTCTTCCTCCTCCTTTCCTCTTTTCATTCTCCCCCTCCTCTCCTCCTCCATTCTTCTCCTCCTCCTCTCCTCCTTTCGTTCTCCTCCTCCATTCTCCTCTTCCTCCTCCTCTCCTCTTTTAATTCTCCCCCTCCTCTCTTCCTCCATTCTTCTCCTCCTCCTCTCCACCCTTCATTCTCCTCCTCCTCTTATCCTCCTTCCTTCATTCTCTTCCATTCTCCTCCTTTCATTCTCCTCCTCCTTTCATTCTCCTCCTCTCCTCCTCCATTCTTCTCTTCCTCCTCCTCTCCTTCTTTTAATTCTCCCCCTCCTCTCTTCCTCCATTCTTCTCCTCCTCCTCTCCACCCTTCATTCTCCTCCTCCTCTTATCCTCCTCCCTTCATTCTCTTCCATTCTCCTCCTTTCATTCTCCTCCTCTCCTCCTCTATTCTTCTCTTCCTCCTCCTCCTCTCCTCCTTTCATTCTCCCCCTCCTCTCCTCCTCCATTCTTCTCCTCCTCCTCTCTTCCTTTTGTTCTCCTCCTCCATTCTCCTCTTCCTCCTCCTCTCCTCTTTTAATTCTCCCCCTCCTCTCTTCCTCCATTCTTCTTGTCCTCCTCTCCACCTTCATTCTCCTCCTCCTCTTATCCTCCTCCCTTCATTCTCTTCCATTCTCCTCCTTTCATTCTCCTCCTCTCCTCCTATTCTCCCCCTCTCCTCCTCCATTGTTCTCTTCCTCCTCCTCTCCTCCTTTCATTCTCCCCCTCCTCTCCTCCTCCATTCTTCTCCTCCTCCTCCTCTCCACCCTTCATTCTCCTCCTCCTCTTATCCTCCTCCCTTCATTCTCTTCCATTCTCCTCCTTTCATTCTCCTCCTCCTTTTATTCTCCCCCTCTCCTCCTCCATTGTTCTCTTCCTCCTCCTCTCCTCCTTTCATTCTCCCCCTCCTCTCCTCCTCCATTCTTCTCCTCCTCCTCCTCTCCACCCTTCATTCTCCTCCTCCTCCCCTTATCCTCCTCCCTTCATTCTCTTCCATTCTCCTCCTTCTTTCATTCTCCTCCTCTCCTCCTCCTCCATTCTTCTCCTCCTCCTCCTCTCCACCCTTCATTCTCCTCCTCCTCCCCTTATCCTCCTCCCTTCATTCTCTTCCATTCTCCTCCTTCTTTCATTCTCCTCCT